TATATATAGAACCCGTAATTGTTATCTATATCCAAAGCAAGGTATATTCCGAAAAAGAAAGTAACACATGCAAACCTTATCACTGCAACTCAAAGCAACTTTCAAAATTCTGCCGACGAATGACCAAACCGAGAGTCGATCGGCGAACAATTACGTTATCAGTTATTAACTATAAACTATAAGTGACATGGGCATTTTCCCATTTTGTCTTGTTTGCAGGTATAGACCTTGTTTTGCGTATGTTTGCGGCGAAAGGATTGTTGGAATAAACATCGATAAACGTAAGCGTATTTGATTCGATTGGTATGCTGCGTTTTTCTAGGTTAATATTGCGTAATAACTAAAGCAGAGTCATTGTTGAATTAGGCCTAGGGGTCCTGTAATAAATTTCGTATTTACACGGACGTACACCGAAAGCTATTCATATCTAACGTGTAATAATATAAAAAAGAAAAAAAAAATTTTATTTTAGCATTTATACCGGAAGTCCTACACTGACTTAGTTAGGCTAGAATATAATCAACATCCCCAGTCCTCTACCAAATTTACGTGAACTCAGTAAAATGGTCTGAGTTTGGCCGTAGACCCACGGTTTTACGCTGGGATGGACCAGCCATAGGAAACAATACATCATAATAAGGTCCAGTCTAGTGCCTTGACCGGACGCTAAATTCAAAACATAACAGAACAATCTTTAGGCAGTGTTTATGCTGTATCGACTCCTGTATTCTATTGTTATACAAGCCTGAACCATGATGGTGTAATGTCAACATCATTTGCATTGCTTCGTCCCACAGAACCAAATTCGATTGCTTAGGTTAAGGAAACATGCTGAAGTCTAGATAAAGTCCTGTAATTTAGGTGCGTCCGTTCGAGACACGTACAAAAAAGCTGGTAACCAATACTCCCCCTTCCCCTCCCCTCCAAGAGATAGGCTATTGGTTGTTCGTATGGGGGAAGAGAGAGATGAAATTTCAGAATCACCGTGCACGCTCAAAGCCGTGGCCACAATTATCGAATGTTTAATTCTCTGAGGTAATACAACCAGACAACTTGTAGTTACTTCACCTGAGGCCTCGCCTAATACGACATTTGTACAGATCTCCCACATGGAATGTACGACTCGATTGTTTTTTTGAATAAACGCAAACTAAATCCTTGACGTTTTACAGAAAACCTTGCTTATTGTGGATATTTGATGTTCCTCTAAAAATATATTACCCTTTGGTGCAAATAACACAATAGTTCTTAACCAAAAATACAAATGCCGTCTTAACTGATGCAAACTTGTCTATTCGAAGGAACTATTTGTAAAATATAAGCTTTTTCGAGTAGACGGCGATGCCAAAAGCAGATTTTCTGGAAACAAATATTTATAGCTAATTAATAATAAGAGTTAGACTGTCGTCTGCACTGGTAACCAACTAACTTATGGATCTGAGCTCAAGAAGCAGTGATCGGCGAAACAGGTCTGATCTAGTAACAGCAGCTCAATTGAATATCTAACGGCAATGGCATAACTACGAATTTGCACACCAAATGATCCTGAGTTCCCTAAACTGATTTAAACCCATGCAGCCATTAAGAAGAATGATATATAGGAAGGGGATATGGGTCAGATCGGTAAGCAGGCTCGATGGCAAACGCAAGTCTTCCTCAGAAAGGCTGCCAGAAGCACATATGAGGAACTCGAGTCAGATTTAGGACTTTGAGGATGAAGGACTCTGTTATTTTACAGTGGTAGCTGATGTTAGCTGCTATGATAGCAGCATAGGTCATAGTTAACCAACATCGTCATTTTCCGGTAATTTTACTTCGATTTACTCTTAATAAAAGTAAATCGAAGTCCTGTTATTGTATTGTATAAAGTATTGCTTATTAAGCAATAATGCCTTAAATAAAGATCGTCACAAACATCCTGTATTTACAATTCAAAGCGATCATTTACTTGATTTTTTCCTTTTGCCTATCGAAAACATTTGTGAGAAAATGTACATACAAAAAAAACTGGCGAGGTTAGATTTCCCTAAACGATACCGTTCTTAAGATTTGGCATTTTCATTTATGTGACAAGATCTAAAAAAAAGTACCTATTTCCTCTTATTAACTGTACGAGGTGATGCAGCTTTTTTGTTTGTTTTTAATTTGCGGATTACAAATTACCATTTCGCACTTTTAACATTCAATATCCTGCACCTATATTATAATAAGAAAAAACATGTTTCTTGTGCTAAAACGATTCGAGTCTGCACGAACGCTTATTGTAGAATAAGTATTTGACAAAACATAGCTTTAGCTTTTTTCTTAAGGTATCATTAGTCACACAGCTCTGGTTTGGTAAGATAGTTTCTTACCAAGCGACAGACAATGGCAGATAGTTTCTTACCAAGCGACAGACAATGGCAGATGTAGGAGTCAGCTTTTCATATCGAGCGAATATTTCTGTCCCGCGAGTATCCTTGACGGTTCATAAATTTCCAACAATACTTTTCTGAACATGAGAACGATTAATCATTATCGTGATGTCAGACAGATGAACTTGAGTATATCATTGACTGCTGATGAAAAACGCGTTCATTAGATAGATTTGATATGTATAAACAAACACCACAGGAAAACTCCGCTGATTTTGTGCTTGATCTTCACAGTTTTGAATGATTTTATTGTTAGCACTCTTTAAGAGGGTGCCTAATATGAAACCAAGTTGTATGACAAAGAAAAAATTGGCATTTTATTGACAAGGGTAATCTTGTGATATACGCTATTAAACCTAATCATATACGATTTAGTACTCAGCAATAATGTTTACCTTGACTATCATAACTAATTCCACAATATTTGCTCTGATGTTGGGCTGAATTGCCTAATGGGCCTGCTATAAAACTCTGAAACTATAGTTTTAATCAAAGGCGGTTCCATTGACCTACCGACATTTAATATTAAGCAGTTGCATGGCAAATGGACAACATTAGATTACCATCAGATACAGACAATGCGATATCATAGTATAGCCTATTTATTATTATCTCTATATCATTCAGAGTCATCAACGATTATACAGTCATTTCAGCTCGTTTCGTTATTATTATTCGAATTATAAAATAGTTCGAGTAATTCCAGTATTTCAACCATTTACCATCGACCCCGACCACGTTTCCACTAACTAACGGAACTAATGTTCAATCACGAGATGATGCCGGAATAGGTTTAACAGAGGCCTTAAACAATAGGCCAGCCAGGTAGTGCGGCAGTAAATCGCTATTGGCTATACAAAACGAGATGTAGTGCATTAGCATCGCCTTAAAGCTAAGACGAAGATAAGTAAGGAAGCGATTGGAAATAGTTCTAATTAAATGTGTAGGTTTAACGAACGGTCGAGAACGTTAGCCGGCCGTTCAAGTTTCGCAAGGGCCAGCAAGGAAAGGCAAGGCCAAGATTATATTGTGCGGTTAACAGGGCGTCGCCAGTCAACAACCTCCCCTAGTGGAGTGCTGCTAAGCGGCGCCTATGGCGATGGCAGTGGCGTTATTGGCCGAACGATATGTGAAATGAGCCAGCGAAGATTGTGTCTTGGGAAATAGTTTTCAGCGCCCCTTGCGATTCCCGCATACTGTGTTGCTATGTACAAACGCATCACGTGCTTAGTAAGGCAGAAAGGAACTAACATACGATGGCAGTGTCGACGCTTTGGCAATGGATGATAGAGGGGTGAAAAGATATTAGTATGGGGCAAGAGTGTAATATGTAAACCTCTGTAAGAATATGAGGATAATGTGGGTACGAAAGCGCTATTCCCGCCATTGGTGCTCACTTCGCGATGAAGTGTAGAGCACACAGATTCAGTGCGCGGTTTTAGCCAGCTACGCTGAAAGCAGCCAGCCAGCGCTCCCGCCGACCGGTAGCCTGCCTATCTGGCTAAAGTAAATCGTGCGGAAGACTCTAATTATTTCGTGATAAGCGGCGGCGTTCGTGCTGCACTTGCACTGTAAGGAGCGAGATTTAACGTTCAGCGTTTCAATATATGGTTAGGTGGGGGGCAGTTGAGGAGTGAAGTTAGGCAAGGGGGAGATTATAGAATAGGCGGAAGTAAGCCAAATGTCGAGGCAGCAACAGTGGTCGCGTAGAAAACAATGGGACACCGTACCCTACCAAGTAAAGATAGCAATACCTCTGATCAGTCAGCCACCAATAGTGGGGTATAGTCGTTGGCGCGGAATAGGGAAAGCCGGAAACCCAGGACGCTAACGAAGCGTGCCGGAGTATATATAGACAAGTAAATGAGTCTGCCTTACACGTGTCCGATTGCTGACTAGGCAATGTACCCGTTAGCTAAGCTCAAAGACTAATCTTGAAGTAAATGATCCTTCGTATATTAGCAAATATTACCGTCTTTAGGTGTACGCGAAGCTGCAAACAAGCTGTTCTTACCAAAATCAAGAACTTACAAAAAAGAAGAAACGTATAAAGAGGGATTTTGTTGCCTTTCATAGCTTCGTTCCTGCCGACATGAAAAGTAAATAATTTTTAGGATATTTCGGCTCACATGGATTACGAATATGTGATTTGTTGTATGAGAAATATAGCTAATTCAATGCAAGTGTAGTAAGGCCTTACTATTTAACCTAGAGTTCAACACTTCTATCCATAAAGCAAGTGTTTCTCGTTTTTCAACACCAACGACCTTATTGACCATTGCGTTCCTGGAAGCAAGAGCTTAATCTTACTTTTGCTGGCTAGCCGTGTTACACATAGCAATTCCTGATCATTTCCTAAGTAATCATCTTGTAGACAATGGAGCGCAACATGACATAGGTTCAGCCTGTTGCCAAATTCAAACAGTCCTCCAATCTGTACTTGCCTATGGCTTTTCGGTCCTGCAGTGGTGAAGCTTCACGTCTTTTTTTGCGCGCTTGAGCAGCCTGGCGTTGCTCTTTCTGGATCATTTCGCACGCCGATACGACTACAGGCAATAAAGATTCGTTGCTTCTAGAAAAGCGGGCAAAAATAATGTTCTACCGCAATAGTCTGTATTGATAGATCTACAGATTTTAATTCTTCCCACAAATAGGTTAGGTGACATGGCATCTCGAAACAATAATTACTTTCAAATAATCGTCGAAACTTTCTATAATACAAGGCTAATTTGAATTCGCCCAATAAGCGGGTAAATGACATTCGTTGGAAAAGGGCCTACCTATCCGCACTATAGACCATACGAGCTACTACGAACGCCTTTTGATACCACTGTTTGAACGTTTATTGGACGAATATATTTCATTAA